CCTGGACATTCAAGGTGGCTGATGTCACGCGCGCGTGCGTGTGTGTGTGTGTGTGTGTGTGTGTGTGTGTGTGTGTGTGTAAGAGAGAATGTGTGAGTGTGAGAGAGCGTGCAGGAGTGTGCAGGTGAGGGCTGGGAGGCTTCTCACCACTAGATGGCGCTAAGAGCAAGGGCCTGGCTCAGCGGCCCCAGAGCCCAAGTCTCCAAGGTGCCAGGCGACATATAACCGTTTCCTTCAGTCCAGGAGGCCTTCTCTGCAGCTTCTTTCTGGGGATTTTTAACTTGGTACAGAGACAGCAGGATGGACAGTGACCATAAGGAGAGGGGTACCCACCATGTTACAGCTCATCCAGCTCAGCTCAAAGTGTGCAGACCCCCAAGCCCTATGCCAGGCACTATGGGGTCTGGGGGGATACACAACCAAAGCAGTCATGCTTTGGAGTATCTGCCATGTGCCAAGCCTTGCACTACAGCTTCCGCATACACAGCGCCCCTTACCCTCCCAGCACCGCCTGGAGGGGGCATTATTGTGCCCATATCACAGATGGGGATGCTAAAGGTCAGAACGGTTAGGAAGCTTGTCCAAGGCCACAAGGAGAGAGCCCACTTGTGATTGTCTCAGGCCTCAGGTTCTCTTCTTGGGTGGAGGCCAGAGATTCTGTTATATATCCTCTAATGGGGCGGGGTGGAGGGTGCTGGGACAGGCACGGAAGGCTTCTTGGAGGAGAGGGTTTTCCCCCTCCCCCGCCTCCATCCCTCACTCCTTCTCCTCCTGCTCCTGCCAGGAGTGTGTTCTGAGGGCTGGAGACTGGAACGGGTCAGAGATAGTCCATGGGGCCCGTGAAGCTTCAGCCGTCCACTGTCCCAGGCTCACAGGGAAAAGGTTCTCTCCACAGGGCCAGGAAAAGGGGTGTATTTGTGTGAGTTTGGTTGGTTTTAATGATTTGGAGGTTTGGGGTTTTGTTTTCTCATTCTGTGTTTTTAAGGAAAACCAAGCAAAGGCAGGCAAATACCTCCCTCCCAGGTGAACATGGACCAGCACTGCCAAACCCCCAGAGCAGTTTGCCCCCACCAGCACACCTGCCTAAAACCAAGCCTTGAGGTGACAAAAACCTCAAATCGAGGTTTGCCTTTTTGACTTTCAAGGGCGCTTTACTTGTTGAATCAATATTTACTGCACTTATGATGTGCCAATCCTAGAACCAAGAGTCCAGCTAATCCAGCATCTCACCTGGCCCCGGTCCTGGCAGCCAAGCGTGCCACAGTGGATCTCACTCACCCCACAAAGACTGCTGCCCCGGGGCTCAGAGCCCAGTCCTCTGCAAACAGCCTCGTATTTTTTTTTTTTTTAGCTGAGTCATCCTGCCACCTGTTGGCAGCTCAGCAGCAGCTCAGCTCAGGCCAGGCATCGAACCACTGTTGCTCAGAGCTCAAACTCTTGAGCGAGCTCTTAACCAACTGAGCCACTCGGCCGGACCCAGCCTCATGTTTTAATAAACCACCTCTCCTTTCTGTCTCCCCATAACCTGTGGGTCCCACAAGCACAGGAAATTTTTGAATTCCTCTTCAAATCCCTACAGCTTAAGCGAGATTGTGAACTGGCTCAGCAAACATTTGCTGAGTGACTGAAAGAGCCCAGAGGAGGCAGAGGGGGTCGGAATGAGAATCGAAAGAGTCGTTTGTGTCTCGGCCCAGGCGTGGACCGTGTCACCCTGGACATGCCCCTCAGCCTCTTTGGCTCTCAAGTTTCCTCCTGGGGCAAAGGAGGAAGAATCTCTCTGAATAGCTCAGCACCTGTTGTTCCAAGAATGAAGTGCAGAGCTATAAGTTCCATAGTGCTGGGCTCCTCTGCTTCGAGATGGAGGGGTGGTGGACTGGGGCCCCGCCTCTGCTAACCTCAGAACTCTGGAGTCATGTGGAAGCTCTGGCCAGGGGCCGCACTGGCCTGGAAGGCCGGGGACTGGCTGCAGCCCGCGCTGTCTGTGCTCCTCCTGGGACTAGATTTCCTCAGGTGTAGAGACTGAGGGGCTGGAATGGTGATTCCGGGAGGCAGCCAGCGCGGGCAGGACAGTGACTGGATCCCAGAGATTCAGACAGCTGGAAGCCCCTCCACTCGCAGACACCCAGAGCTGCCTCCTGTCCGACCTGCCCACAGGCTGGCTCTCTGGGCCTAATTTCCCCTTCCCAGCTGGCCCTGTGTCTTGTGAAGATGACTCTAGTGGCCGGGGGATGGGAATGGGGCAGGTGCAGGGAGTAGAGCCAGGCTCCATCGCCCTTTAGTGCGGAATCCAAAGCCCCCCCTCTACAAGGGCTCATGCTGGCATAAGTCCCCTCCCACAGAGGCCGGGAGAGCCAGCGCAACGGGGTCGTGTGCCTGCCGTCACCCACGGCAGCCCTTTCCTGGTGCTCAGAGGGGAAATAATAATAGTGATAAGAATAAATATAATAATAATAGGTCAGCTCCCCGAAACCCAATTTTAAATATGGCTCTGTAGCTGTGAAGGATCCTTTGCAGAGTAAAAAGGGTGGGTCTTTAGGACCCAGAGGAAAGAGCAATGGGACATGGGCCACCATTCACGAAGTGACTCATCAGAAGGTGTTTCCTTCTCAAAGCCTCAGCCTAGCCTCCCAGGCCGTGGGGTGCTGTAGGGAAGGAAACACACTCAGGAGGCTTCCTTAGCAAGGCCAGAGGGCTGACATAACGCTGGGCCCCACCACCCACCAGCAGGGGGAGCTGGCAATTGGCTTAGCTCCTCTGAACTCTTGTTTTATTGAGGAGAAAGGAGACGGCTGGCTGTCAAAAGCATGGTAGAATTTAATGTAAACCTTTTGAACACCACAAAGACGGGAAGGTGATTTGCAGGCCCATTTGGCTTTGAAACCCCTGCCTGTCAGCCCCCCCTTGATCACTGCTGTTCCCCCCACAGGCCCTCTCTCCAGCCCCCACGGCCACGGCCTTCACCCCGGCGCCCCTGGAGGACACATCTTCACGCCCCCAATTCTGCAAGTGGCCATGTGAGTGTCCGCCGTCCACACCCCGCTGCCCACTGGGGGTCAGCCTCATCACAGACGGCTGTGAATGCTGTAAGATGTGTGCACAGCAGCTCGGGGACAACTGCACGGAGGCTGCCATCTGTGACCCCCACCGGGGCCTCTACTGCGACTACAGTGGGGACCGCCCGAGGTACGCAATAGGAGTGTGTGCACGTAAGTGAGACCTTCCCTCCACCCCGGCCAGGCCCCAGCATCCCCAGCGCTGGCCCAGGACCCTCATGCATAGCCTTCCCCCGGCCAGGCTCCTGTTCTGTGGGAGGCACCCCCCCACACCACACACACACACACACACACACACACACACACACACACACACACGCATGATTAGAGGCCGGAGGCCGGGCCTTTCCTGAGGATGGATGTCTGCATTCCTCCTGCCTCCTGAACCTGGCATCCTGCTCTCTTCTCAGTCCTGACGGCACATCCACGGCTGACTTCAGGGACAAGGAAGCCACGAGAGAAGACCTCAGCCTGGTTTCCTTCTCTTAGTGGTAGGGCCCCTCGACGGGTGCCCACGGCCTGCTGGGGGCACCAAGACCCTGCAGAGTTCCAGGTAGTTTAGTCGTTTTGTAAATTAAAATAATATATATTTTTTTAAATTCAATAGTCTTGAAAGGATTAAAGCCAGCAGCCTGCAACCCCCTCTCCCACTACCCACCCACATCGCTTCAGTTACTAGAGTCAGTTTTAACTTTAAAACTGAAGCCCTAGGGCCGGCCGAGTGGCTCAGTTGGTTAAGAGCTCGCTCAAGAGTTTGAGCTCTGAGCAACAGCGGTTCAAGTCCTGGCCTGAGCTGAGCAGCCGCTGAGCTGCTGACAGGTGGCAGGATGGCTCAGCTAAAAACAAAAACAAAAACTGAAGCCCTTTCTTCTTGTAGTTATGACTCCATAATACGTATCTACTGTTGTATCTTGATTGGCTTAAAAATGTCAAATTTGGATACTCTATTAATGATCTTCTATGATAGCTGATGACCTAATGACCTCGCTCATCCATACCATGTGACGCCTTCACCACCCTCCAATGTCACTGTCATATTTTTGTTTATACAACTATCACTGTTTACAATATTATGAGTACGTCAATATCATTTGGGGCCGCCTGAACTGTTTGCTCTGTAAGCGCTCCATCATATCCTTTTTTGTTCCCAGAGACCTCCTTTCTGGGACTGTTTGATCTCCTGCTTATTACCTGGACTGGTATTCATTTAGCTTGAATCACTTAAGCATTTATCCAGGATACATGGCCCAGCGCGATGGAGAGAGGTAACTACACATCATGACACAGCAGCCTAACTTCAGAAAAGTTACACAAAGCCTCATAAACCCAAGAACCTCTTTCTTCTATGAGTGCCAAATCGAGACTTCCCCATAATATGATTCCATATGTACCCCATTACATATGTGCACACGACGTAGCCTCTCATCTTGGCTAACCCACTGTGTCCCCCAAGGTGGGCTGTTGAAGAGGGACAGACTCCTAATTCCAAGTCAGACGATCCTACCTGAGCCTCGCAGTTCATCGGTGAGCCCTTTCAGCTCTTTTGTCAGCAAGTGGTTCATGCTTCAACTTTCATACCAAGTCGTCTGTCTCTAGCTTAACAAGTAACCACCCTCGCTTCTCCCAGCCTTCCACTTTTCTTTCTTTTGTTCATATTCATTATGAGTCCCCCCCCCAAAAAAAAAATCAACAGTGTGTTCCAACGGACCTTGCACCACCCGACAGCCTCACGTGACGTGTTGTTGATTTAAAATGTTATCCCTGAGCCCCGCCCAGACTTACTGAATCAATCCCCTGCAAGTGAGGATGGAATCTACAACTTGACCAAGCATCACAGGTGATTCTCATGCACACTCAATTTTGAGACTGACTGTTAACATACAGCCACCCCTCTTAGCCAGGGGGCACACTTTCCAAGAGCCCTGGTGGATGCCTGAAGCCACAGATAGTACCAAACCCTATATATCCTGTTTTTTCCTATACGTACATACCTATGATAAAGTGTAACTTATAAACTAGACATAGTAAGAGACTAACAACTAATAATAAAATAGAACAGCTATAACAATATACGGTAATAAAAGTTATGTGGATGTGGCATTATTAAGATAAGGGTGGCTTGAACACAAGCACTGCAATACCTTGAGAGTCAGCCTGATAACCGAGATGGCTACTAAGTGACCGATGGGCAGAGAGCACACACAGTGTGGGCGTGCTGGACAGAAAGATGAATCTCCTCCCAGGTGGGACGCGGCAGGATCATGCTATTCAGAATAGCCTTCATGTAAAAACTTTTGAATTGTTTCTTTCTGGAATATTCCACTTAATATGTTCAGACCGTAATGGACCACAGGTAACTGAAACTGTGGAACAGGAAACCGCGGATGGCAGGGGAGGGGTGATGCATAGAGTTGGTCATATACTCTCTCCCCGTACCCAGGTGAGGAAACTTGGCTGAGCCTTCCTGCACTAGAATACCCTCTAGTTACATGAGACTGTCTCATCATTGCTTTCCCTTTTTACAGCTGCTCTTCAAGGTCATTAACAAG